CATTTTTGGATTGGGTTGTTTGTTTTTTTGTTATTGAGCTGCATGAGCTGCTTGTAAATTTTGGAGATTAATCCTTTGTCAGTTGCTTCATTTGCAAATATTTTCTCCCATTCTGAGGGTTGTCTTTTGGTCTTGTTTATGGTTTCCTTTGCTTTGCAAAAGCTTTGAAGTTTCATTAGGTCCCATTTGTTTAGGCCATTTCTTTCTTGATGGGATTGTACCTCAGTGGCTACTACACTACCTTTTCAATAATAAAGTATTAAAATTGAAAGTCCTTGAAAGCATTAGTGAAGATTAGGTGTTTTTTGAGGGGGAGGGGACAGCTGAGAAATTCACTAAAACAATAAAATCTTTTGTAGAAGCTGAACTTAGTGACTGACTGTTGGCTGACTTGCATTATTTGGGTGTATCACATTATTTTTCATCTGTTAAATGTGTATAATGACACATCTCCCCTACCTACCTCACAGAGTTGTAAAAAACCAAACAAAACTAAACCATAGTACATATCTAAGAGGGATGAGAGAAAAATGAGAGTAGCATGTGGAAATGTGAGAGGCAGTACAGTATGATCGAAAGATCTATGATTAAAGTAAAGAGAAGTGGTCAAGGCTGTTCTTCTATTCATGGAGAAAGGAAATGGTTACTAAATTCAGAAAAGTTGCATAAGAAGAAAATCATTTAAAATGCATTAGGGATCTAGATATTTAAATTTTCCTAGGTCTAGTCTTATTATAATACAAATAATAACCCCCTACCTGATCTTGATGATCTTGAGTTTCCTACTATAGGCTTGTCTAAAACTAGGGTTATTATATGTATTTATCCTTAAAGTGAAAACTGTTAATGAGTTGTTATTTTTTATTTCACAGAAAAAAGGTGATAATATAAAAAAAGTTAACTGAGACTAAGTCTTAGCTCAAGGACATACAAAAAACAGGACCTAGACTGCAAACCCTACTGTAGATTGGGTTTTCTGCTTAAACTTATTTTTGACTTCAACAAAATTTCAGAAATGGACAGAACCACAAATTCTATACTGTATTAAAAAAAAATAGACAACACCAACAGTGAAAAGTCTAATATCAAGAACAAGACAAATATGCCCACTCTCACCATTTTTATTCAATATAGTACTGGAAGTCCTAGCCAGAGTAATTAGGCAAGAAAAAGAGATAAAAGACATCTAAATTGGAAAGGAAGAAGTAAAATGGTCCCTGTCAATGACATTATATAGAGAAAACCCTGAAGACTCCACAAAAAAATTGTTCAAATAAATGAATTCAGTAAAGGTGCAGGATACAAAATCAATTGACAAAAATCAGTTGCATTTCTATACCCTAACAACGAGCTATTGGAAAGAGAAATTAAAACAATTCCATTTACAATAGCATCAAAAAGAATAAAATATTTAGCAATAAATTTAGCCAAGAACTTGAAAGGTCTGTACACTAAACTCCACAAAACACTGATGAAAGAAATTCAAGAAGACACAAATAAATGGCAAGATACTCCATGCTCATGGATTAGAAGAATATTGTTAAACTGTCCATACTACCCAAAGCAATCTAAAGATTCAGTTCAGTCCCTTTCAAAATTCCAATGGCATTTTTCACAGAAGTAGAAAAACAATCCAAAAATTTCTGTGAACCATAAAGGGCCCCAAGTAGCCAAAGCAATCCTGCAAAGAACAAAACCACCAGAGGCATCACACTTTTTGATTTCAAACTATATTACAAAGCTATAGTAATCAAAACAGTATGTTACTGACATAAAAAAAGACACAGACCAATTGAGCAGATTAGAGACCCTGGAAATAAACTCACACATATATGGTCAATTTTTGACAAAGGAGCCAAGAATATACATGGGGCAAGATTAGTCTCTTAAATAAATGGTGTTGGGAAAACTGGACATCCACATGGCAAAGAATAAAATTGGACACCCCTTTGTCTTACACCTTACACAAAAATTAACTGAAAATGGATTAAAGCCTTGAACATAAAGCTTGAAACCATAAAGCTCCTAGAAGAAAACATAGGCAGTATGCTTTTTGCCATTGGTCTTAGCAGTGTCTTTCTACATATGTCTCCTCAGGCAAGGGGAACAAAGCAAAAATAAACAAGTGGGATGACATCAAACTTAAAAGCTTCTGCACAGCGAGGAAACCATCAACAAAATGAAAAGACAACCTACTGAATGGGATAAGATATTTGCAAATTATATATTCGATAAAGGGCTAGTATCCAAAATATATAAAGAAGTCATACTACCCAATTAGCAAAACAAAATAAGACAATTTAAAAATTGAGCAGAGGACCTGAACATTTTTCCAAAGAAGAAATCCAGATGGCTGACAGGTACATTAAAAGGTGTTCGACATCACTAATTATAAAGGAAATGCAAATCAAAACCATAATGAGATATCAACTCACACCTGTGAACAAGGCTTTTATCAAAAAGACAAAAAATAATAATTGCTGTGAGGTTGTGGAGAAAAGGGAACGCTTGGTTACTGTTGGTGGAAATGTAAACTGGTACAGCTACTATGGAAAACAACATGGAGGTTGCTCAAAAAATTAAAAATAGAACTACCATATGATCCATCAGTCTAACTTCTTGGTATATTTCCACAGGGAACAAAATCATTATCTCAAAGAGATCTGTACTCCCGTGTTCACTGCAGCATTATTCAAATTAGTTAGTGTATTCTGAGTCAAATGGTTAGTGCATGTTTCCTTTACTATATTGTTAGCTTCTTGTCTTTATATTAAATGTAGATCCTGCATTGCCCTTCAAAGTTGGAGTGACGCAGCACTGCCTTGAGGCCCATAGCTCAGTGATGACCAAGAGGGCCTTAAAGTTCTCCTCAGCTTGACTAAACTTTAGACAGGTTTCCTCCTGACCGTAAGCTCCTGTCCTCCCTTTTCTTACAGCATTTACTTAAGAAACTTTGAAATTATAAATTCTTTCTCTGCTTCTTTGAGATGTGAATCTTCTCCCAGCCTCTTGCCAGTTTTACAACCCAGGAATGTCTTTCTCAAGGACCTCCAGGACCTGGGAGTCATCCCTTTAAAATGTAATCTTTATTAAAAAGTGTTCTCCTATCTCTACAGTCTTTGAGGTGGGGATAGGAGTCTAAGCACCAATTAGCAAACGTGGATAACCCAGTCATGTTGACCTGTATCCCCTTAGTGTTCTCCAGTACTCTTCACTAGCTCAGCCTCAGCTCTTAAAAACTTTCCCAACTTTTGTTTCAGTGGAGTTGAGATCAGTCACTCTTCGCTATTACAGTAGTCTTGAGTACTTTCTTATCTGTTTAACTTGTCTAGTGCCTTTGAGTTTGGTTGTGATTGAGATGAGGATTCTGGAGTCAGACTCTGGCTCCATTTTACTACACAAGTCACAATGTCACTGACTGAGCTTCAGTTTGCTTACAAGTAAAATGGAGATAATGGTACCTTCCTACAGGATATCTGTTCATCGGGTCGATGAACATTAAGCTCTTATCATGCTCTCTGGTATCGATACATATGAGGCATAATCCATATTTTAGCCATAAAACATCCATAAATTTTAGGTCTTTTTTTTTTTTGGTTAATCTACATGAAAAACATCTTGATAGTTTTTTTAATAGTAAACTGTTGTAGTGTATTTAAAATATGTTTCCGTTTGCTATCAATATGTATATTCTCAGGATATCTACTTTGCAAAGTGAAGTCTATTTAGTTTTCAAAATAAATAAAGATAAAAATGCATCATAAATAGTGAAAGCAAGCAACCAGTTATACATCTGATCCTGAAGTGCAATTACTTTGGGCAGTTACTCCTGAGGCCATCTTGAGAAATAGCATCTGTGAGTGAGAGACAAAACTGAAATATCATGTTTTCAGACATTCCAGCAAGCTATGTTCTCCAACAAGTGAAGGAAGCTGTGCTGTTTATATTTTGAAATTCAAAATATCTCCTACTTAGGCTATCCTGAAACCAAAAAATTAAACTAAAATTTAATTTTCTTTTAATAGATATCTTTTAAAATACCAGTTGTAATACTCTATTGTCTTAAAGCTGCATCATGAAATGTTGCCTTATTCTCTAAATTTTAAAGAAACACACGTGAAACAACACATTTTAAAAGTTTAAACTGCTTTCTTTTCCAGGGGGTGGGGGGAGGAGCATGGTAACATATAACAGGGAAGTACAATATTCTGACTACATGTCAGAATAAATGTCTATTCGTAACTGTTCCCGATTCGGTGTATGCTCTATCTGTAAAACTACTTCTCCCCTCCCTTCTCTCTCTCCAAAAGTAATCTGAGAAAAATTCACTTGAATTGCTATCTGACTTTTAACAATCTATATTCTGTTTGGAAACCCAGCTTGCAATTCTGACTGACTTACAAAGATAACAGTGATGATATGGATCCGTCTGAAAGGCCAAAAGTACTGCATTGATGTTCCATTCTTAAATACGGACAACATGATGGTTTTTTTTTTTTTTTTTTTAAGAGTCATTACCTCTTACAGTCTGTTCATTATTTTTATACCTCTTGTTAATGGACACTCCTGTAACATTAGGTTAAGATTTTTAGATTGTTTGCTCTCATCTCCCCTCCCTGCTTGAAACAGTTTTGTTTACAGGAAGGGGTTACAAAAAAGGCAGAGCCTCATACGCTGTATGAATACAGATAAAAAGACATATTGTGGTTTATGACGTCTACATGCCCACCTGGAGGGAAGGGAATTTAAGAGCAAAATAAAAAGACTGAAAATCTAAGTCAACTCAGAAACAAGACTTGCCTATGATGAAGACAGGATTTAAGTTAGAAAGTTCATTGTTATGGCCCCCAGTTGTATATATTTTATCCTAAGGCACCATTTGGTTTAATCAAATGTAGATCTGAGGCTCTCTTAACCTATCAATTTCTTAAGACTTAATTATAAAGGTTATATTTTCAGAGGACAAAAACATTATTCATTTGTCTGTTCATGTCTTCCAGGTTTATCTTGCAGATTATGGACTTTCCTACAGATATTGTCCCAATGGGAACCACAAACAGTATCAGGAAAATCCTAGAAAAAGCCATAATGGGACAATAGAGTTTACCAGCTTGGATGCTCACAAGGGAGTAGGTAGGTTTCTTTTTTTCTTATTTTTATTTCAGAGGAATAATTAGAACAAAGAGCCTTAAGGCTCCATGAAATGACCTTTGCATAGTCAGCTTGAAGAATGAGAACATTGGTGAGATGTTTATCAAAAGTAGTGAGTTCCTGTATGCCAATGAATATTCTAACAGAGGGAGGAGATACAGACTTCGACAAGTGAAGAAGGAATAAAAGGTGTCAAGTAAGCAAAACTTGATGCTCATTTGGGACAGGAAAGTACTAGTTTGTTTAGGTTAAACTTGGAGGTCAGCAACTGAATTTTTATGCTGTAGTGACAATTACAGATTTGGTACAGGTACACATGTGAAGAATTATTCCTGTTTTTCATTGTGCCCTTATCAGAGCTTTAGAAGATACCATCTCAGCAATAAGGAAATCTTTTCTGAATCTATGAAGTGTTAACTTGTGGAAATCTCTCCTAGTCGCCTTTCATATATCTTACTTATTTAAACTCACTTTGATGGTATTGGAAACACATTTGCAGGTAAATTACATACATAGTCCTTTTATTGGACATTGATTGTACTGCCTTGCATTCCAAGGGAGACTTAATTCAACAATTCCCTAATTAGTTAAAGTCATAACCTATGTCTTGTATTCATTTACCATTAATTAAACCTTAGCTGTTTATTACACTGCAGTCTAAATCCAATAGCCGACCCAGAAAGCCATGGAGAAGGAAGTAGGAGGTCAATATTGAAAATATATGGTGCGGAGTCCCACTGATGGTTGCTTTGTTCACAATCAATATGGTCAATGCAACTGTACTTTCTTAGTTGCTCTGTCAGCAAGACAAAAAGTCAATTCTAATGTTATGCTAGTAAAAAAAAAATGGTGATTATTGAAAAACTTTGTCTTTCAAAATTATATTCTTCATAAACTTTGTTTATAAAAGTATTTTCAAATATGCTAAACCATACAAATAATTTTTAAACTGCTTTGAAAGGATCACATTTTCACTAAAAGGCAGTTAGACATTTGCACTTGTTAATGGCTGTTGAACTGTTACCCTAAACTGATACTTTCTAACGAGTTTTAGTTGGTGCAAACAACTGTATATTATTGCCTTTTCTATTAAAAGGACCATTGACCACGTAATGTAGAGGGTCTTGATCATTTTCCAGAGCAATTAAAACCCACAGTAGTTTAACGTAGGCCAATGAGAAAGTAAAACAAATGTGTCGATTGTATACCTTCTTCCTTTCAAGAAGAATCATAGGTTAAATTTTCTGGAATAGAAATTACCTTTTATACTCCTTATCAAAATAAGTGAAATCACTACATTTTTTTTCCAAGGATAGTTTGGTTAGAAAAGTAGTGATTTGCCAGATATATTAGTATGAAAGAATATTTAGAAACCTGAGAGTACTTTTTGATAGTGGTATAACTGGAAATTCATCATACAGATTCTTAAGCTTTGGTCCAATTATGTTAATGATGATATTAACTTATGGTTGGGCCACTTAGTTCAACCCATAGCTCTAATACTGATCCTATTAGATTCTGACTATTAAAAAAACATCTAGGGGCTTCCCTGGTGGCGCAGTGGTTGGAGAGTCCGCCTGCCGATGCCGGGGACACGGGTTCATGCCCCGGTCTGGGAAGATCCCACATGCCGCAGAGC